AGAGAGGTATACGAATTCCTTGAGTAAGCCCAAATTGCCTGGCAAATTGGGAAGGACAGTAAACTTCAGATATACATTTGTATGCTTGAAGATTCAAAGTATCGATAAAGAGCTCCCTTGGCAACAAGATAAAGGCCCAGATATCCTTGTGTAGTGAATTGGAGCATTCCCTATCAGCCAAAAATGCCCTGAGCCAGGCTAGTCCTGTATTGGTTTCGAAGGGACAAAAGAAGGAAGGAAGTGGAGAAATTGGGAGTTGATGAAAGAAAGTAAAATAATAGGCAAAGTTAGAGGGGTATAAGGAAATCCTAACAAATTTCTCTCCGTAAGTAGTGCTTTCTGGCACCAAAAATCTCAAGTACTTGAAATGTAGACCAGTGAAATATGCGAAGAGCTAGAGTTGTAATACCCAGAGGGGGCCTCCTTGGTTAACATCCAGAGGTTTCTCATAAAATTGTGAATGGGCCCTATAAAGATGGCCTAAAACATAAGGAGCCAAGGCTATCTTCTTCTTCAAGGCTAGAGCCTTGGCAAGTGGGGCAAACTTAGGCATGATCCGCTAAGATGAAGTACAAAAGAGAAATTTGCATAACCAATACAGAATGAAAGAAAAGAACTCTCGATCACCTACTGGACCTATCTTCTTGTTCTCAGATTCCATAAAATCACTGAAGGAAGAGTTCAAGAGTGGAATGGTGAAGTTGACCGGAAGGTCTAGGTAACCAGGCATAAAGGGAGCACCAAGTGGTGAGAGCCCTAAGAGATGGAAAATATCAAGAACGGTGGGGGCCATCATGCCACACCGAAATTGGAAAAAATTAAAAGCCGAATTCCAGAAACAATGTGCTGCAAGAATCAAAAAATGATCCTCAGGGATAATGAACCTGGAAAGGCGAAGGGCATTAAGGATACAAAGCTCTTGCAGATCCCATTCTCTAGCAGGCACAACCCTGTCATACCATTCCTCCCATTCAACCCTCAATGTGGGCCAGCAGTGGTGGGGACGGTTTATCCTCCAGTCAAAACCCCCTTCGTAAAGGAGATAGTGATCCTCTAGATGAGGATACAAAGCAGGAAGTTGAGCTGGGGCTTCTCTGAAGATAGGTCCTAAGACGTATTCCTGATGTTCATTATGGCGAGGAATAAAGAGACGACTATCTATGGTACTCGGTTCACCAGCTTTGAGCTTAGATATCTCTTCGTCGATACAACTCTTTAAAGCCACAAATGGGCTCATGCGTTCCACAACTGGTACTTCCAAGGAGGAAGAAACCATTAACAAGAGTTTTAAGAGAACGAAGTTGAGAAAAGAGTAAGGAGGTGGAGGGAGCAATAGAAATGAAGGGTTTGTGTTTTGGGCGAGCAAGTAAATTAAAAGCGTGAAGGGAAAAGATTTTAAACCTTTCTGTATGAAAGATGCCCAATTTGTCTAAATGGGTAAAAAAACCCGAGATAAATTGTTGGGCTGATTTTGGAACCCGTATGAGTTTAAGACTTTGTCCTAAAGTTCACAGGAGTCCAGAAAGTACAACGTGAAAAGTTTCTCTCAAGGGTGATTGTTTGGGCGAGAAACGCATCTCAAACAATCGGACTGGCTTCGAAAACAAATGTTTGGCTTCGAAGTCAAGATTTAGCTTCAAAGCCAGATGTCAAACAACCAACTAAGGCTTCGAGAGCAGGAAGTTGATTTCGAAGTGCATTTTATTCCTGAGAATGAAGGAATATATAGGTTTGGTCTTCTTCAAAGGGATTCAAGACTTGCTCTTAGATTTCTTATGAAAAATGAAATTCTTCGAAGTGAACTTTGAAGTTTTTTGTAGTTTTCTTATTTGATGATTTTTTGCAGAGCCAATACTAAGTCAAGTAAGAGATCAAGATCCAAAAAGACTTGCCTGAACATGAAAAATTCCTTCTTGGATTCTTTGTCAAAGCAAACCTTATTTTTTTTTAAAAAAAAAGCAGCATTGTTACTAAGTACTTCGAAGCACTTAAAAGTAACTTTGATACAAAGGTTGGTCAATTCAAAGCTATTAAAATTATATTGACCATACGATTGGAATGAGAAGATATAAGGCAAGGGTTGTCAATTGTACTCCACATGTTGGAGGTATTCAAATTAGGTTTCAAGCATTCCATTAGAAATGTTCAAATCGAGCTTCGAAGGAAATAATTGGTAAATTCGAAGCTCTAATTTTATTTAAATTGGGTGAATAAAATTGTCACAAGCATGCAATTGGAACATAAAACCAGATCACGCCAAATTAAGAGGGAAAAAAAAAAACTAGTTTTATTGATATGTAAGTAATTACATTATAAAGCCTTCTTGGCTACAAATTCAATTTCATAAAAGTAAGGAATGGAAAAAGTAACAAGTTCATTAACTTTGGCCCAACTGTGGTCAATGAATTTATGTTCCTTCTTTTTTCTGTCTTCTGTCCTATCAAGGCTGGGTTGCTGTAGCTGATATGTTCTTATTTGATGGAAAAGTTGTTCAGCTTTCATCTCAAACTCTATCTCCTTCAATCCTTGTTCCATTTCATCCATATCTAGATCATCCCAGTATGCAGAATCCTTATTTTTGAAGTCATTATATTCTTCAATGAGATTATCTGCTTCATACTTGGTTTGAATTCGACTGGCTGAGATTTTGTCCAAAGAATTACTGATAGCCAAAGAAATTTGGTACCAATGAAGAAGTAGCGGGAGTTGATCCAAAAAAGCTTGAAGCTCTGCCTGAGCAATGGGGTTAAAGACATGATCCCGGGTCATAATATCACAGGCCCATTGGAAGTTCTTAAGAGGAGTCTCATCTCCAAGAACACTGAAGATCAAGTAGGAGAAGGCAGTAAGCAGAAGTTGAGCTTGGTGTCGCTCAAATGTAGTGGAAAGATCTGGAGGTTGGTAGGAAGGAAGAAAGAAACTAATTGTCGAAAAGAATAAGTTTTAGTTCCTCCATCCAGTGAGGATTCTGAGGAAAAGGAGGCGTAGGGGGGTCCATCCCAAAGGAAGAAGGGAATTGGGGATTATTCACACATTCAAGCCAGTCAGAAGAGAAAAATTTTGCCTTCTTGGCTAAGAATGACGTATTATATCCTTGTGCTTCCTCTGGACGAGGAGTTGCTCACACTGTCTTCGTTGGCATGGAAAATGTATACCATGCCACAAGTAAGTTGTCCTCCACACTACGTCGGTGATCAATGGGTACATAGGGGTAAACCACTGAGCTCCAAGCAGAAGGAAGGATAAACAGAGGATCATCGAATTCGACAAATTGATGGTGAATTCGCTCTCTTAGTTTGGGTTCATCAGGTTCTAACCAGCTTATCCAGTCAGTAGACCTGAAGGAAGAAGAAGCAAATGTGTCTTATGCAGAGAGTGGTGGAGCAGAAGAAGAAGCAATTGTGTCCCATGCAGAGGATGATGAGGTAGAAGAAGAGCTTCCAAGATTCATTTTTGTAAATGCTTAATCCAAGGGTTTGTAGTTGGCAAACTTTTGGTCCAAAAGTTGGTAATTTGCAAAAGCTTCCATAACTTGCATAAATGGAGGCAGATAGGTGTAACCAATAAATGCATTGAGATTCTTTCGAGGCCTGTAATCATCTTCCATAGACTCCTCGTATGCTCGATCAATGTAGGAGAATGTGTGATTGGCCATTGAAGATGTACTACTCTTTTCGTCTACTCAAAGAATGGAAAGTGCAAGATACAAGGATTTAATGAAGTTCATTGCTTCATTATTCAAAAAGTGGTTATACTACCAGAATACACAGAGTCCATGCACGTCTTAGAACGTGGGTGGATTGCACTAGTTCACTAATATCACCAAGTACTGGATATATTAGTGCGGGGGGTAATGTTAGCTGTATAATTTGTAAAAACCAATCACAATTTAACACGTGGTACGAAGAGGGCAATTTGGGGAGTTAATACAAGTTGCCAACCAAAGTCAGACATGTAGTAGTTCGTATTGGTAATAATGGATCTGCGTAGCACTAGAACAATCAAGAGATATAAGGTGATGTGGCCTAACAATTACTCACAAAGTTTAAATTCAAAATCAGAAGGGAAGCCTAATTGCAAGAGTGGCGTAGTAGGGACTGACTGTGAGAGAGCATGTTCAGCAATCATGGGAGGACATTTCGATGGTTGAAAGCCCATTTCGACAGTTATCATTGAAAAGTATAAATAACAGAGAAGGTCTCAGAATGAAGCCGAGACTCGGATCAAAAAATCAGTTTATTTACTTCGTTTTTCCTTCTAGTTTTTACAGTGCTTTACATTTCTACACTTCAATTCCTGTACTGCACTTCATTTCCTAAAAGTAGTTTCAAATAGCTTGTTGCTGTAAACCTTTACGAGGCTGGGTCAGATCATTGTAAGTTTTCATTTTACTTAATGAAATTTAGATTCTGAAATTGTTCTTCACTTGTTGTTATTTACTAAATTCTCCTAAACAAGCCAGCAGTAAAAGTCCTCTTCATTGAGGCTGAGAGAACTATAAAACAATCGTCTGATAATTGGTTAGCAATTAATATTCTGTAAGGACTAATTGATCCTTACTGGCACACTTAAAATTACATTATTAACCTTCGAATTGCAAAATGGATACGGGTGTTGGGTCACAACCCAATCCAAGCTCAATCTCAAACACATGCACAAACTAAGCCCAACACAGCTCAGCCCAAAACTCAAGACTAGGTCCAAATTCAAGTCTAAGACCAAACCCAACACATGTACAAGTACAAGTCTAGGTCCAGTCCAAACTAAGACTAAGTCCAAATCTAAACCCAACTTTTTTCGTGCCCACTTTATGAGACAATTCTCATTCACAACTCAATGGTTTCGGCTCATTATTTTTTTATTACAATCTTCTCACTTAAGATAATACAAAATCACTCAGACCCATCCCAACCGGCGGTTAGGTCCCACTTTAATTTAAAATTAAAGTTGCCGAAAAATCATTGTTTTCCAACAATGGTTTCAATAATCATTTGCGGAAGATGGAAGCTTTGCTCCTAGCTACTACATCTGATACTAATAATTTCAGTGCAATTGGTATTGTAGGGATGAGAGGATCAGGTAAAACTACTCTTTCTCAAATAATGTTCCATAGCTCTAGAGTCCAAGAAAGTTTCTCCCCAATGTTATGGGTTGAGTTACCTCAATATCCGAATCTAAGATCCGTTGTCTTGGCTATTCTTGAATGCATGGCAAGTGATTTCTCTTTGTCTGTCAACACTTGTGATCTTGATGATCATTTGCACAATATGCATCTATACTTGTTTAATAAGAAGTATTTGATCGTGTTGGACAACATGTGGCCTGCTTCGAGTGATGATTTGGATTTCAACAAGAAGTACATAACTCCACTCTGGAATGGATTGCCACTTTGATTTGGATTTCAACAAGAAGTACATAACTCCACTCTGGAATGGATTGCCCAGGGGAAGTGGGAGGTGCAAAAGTAAAGAAAAAAAATTGATTCTTTTATATATTTTTTTGATGAGTGATGCCATGTGAACAACAAAATTTATATATAATGATGTAGTTCATTATGAATCATTTATTTTAAAACAAAACACTATTAAAGATGTATTTTTTTATAACAATGGCATTATCAGATATTTTTGTAAATTTTTTATATAAATTTCAAGGGAGAAATATCAAACTAGTGTAATTTTGTAAAAATAAATTACAAATTAGTGAAAAAAAATTTATAAATATTAATAATTACAATTACAATTGCAATTTTTTTATGAATTTGTATTTTTTTTTTTTCTAAAATTTTACTGGGATGTAATTACCCCTAAATTTTATGTATCAATAGAATTTTCATTTTTTAATATTTCAACTTTTTAAACTTTTAACTTAGAAAATTGATTATTTACATAAAAATCTCTAAACTATTGAGAAGTATCACTTTAACCTCCTAAACTATAAAAACGTACAAATAGATCCCTTAAACTATTAAGAAGTATTACTTTGTCATATAAATTATAAAAACATACAAATAGATCATTTAAACTGCAAAAACATATCGATTGGACCCATAATGGAAGGGATCAAAGTGAAATACGCCAATAATTTAGGGGTTCATTTGTATGATTTTATAATTTAGGAGGTAAAGTAATACTTTTTAATAGTTTAAGAATTTATTTGTACACTTTTATAGTTTATGAGGTCAAAGTGATATTTCAATAGTTCAGAGGGCCTCTATGTAAATAATCCTAAAAAAAATTCAATGCCATACAAACCCTTAAAAAAGATGGCAAGTCACGGAGAGAATCAAAGGAAATTCTGGTGACAATAAAGTCTCTGAAACAGTTCATCTCTACCTACCATGCATAATCGATTTGGAAAAGGTTTCTCTCTCTCTTTGGAAATTATATGTATATATATATAACTTTCTTCACCAGTAAAATTTTGGTAATTCTTAAGCCCAAATCAATCGATTCATCTCTTTCAGTTTTGTGTTTCGAAAAAAAGTTCATTCAATTCGGTAGTTTGTGCTAGAGTAGTCATTTTTTTTCGTTTTGTATTTCTTCTTATTATTATCAATCAATTATAATTAGTGAAACCCTAGCACAAGTAGTGTTGTTTGTATGGCTATCACTGGAAGCTGAGATATAATAATATTCCACGACTTCAGGGCCAACAACGACTTTGGAATTTGCACAAAAAGTCTACGGCTCCATCATATTTGATTGGGTAAATTAGGCATCTACTTGAAGTTTGAAGAAAATAGAAGTTTCACATTTTTTGTAATTACACTATTTTCTTTTTACTATGATTATAACCGAAATTAATGGATAAACGATAAAATAAACAAAGATAAATATATATTTTAATAAAAAAATAATAATAATATCATTTTTTCTTTTTTTTTTTAACCTCGGAGAGGTTAGTGTAATTTACCTTTCTCAATTTGTGTAGTTGGTCTGATAGTGCATTTTTAATGTATTACCTGATTTTGGTTTAAATCTTTATAAGGGTTAGTGATGTGGACATTAGGCTCCGATTAGTTGAGTTTTCAACTAGTTTGATAAAAATTAAAGACCAAAAGGGATATTTTTAAGAGTTCAAAAAAAAAAAAAAAAAGGGATATTTTTAAAATTTCAAAATTATTTCCACCCAAAACAAATAAAACCATATGAAAATAATGAGTAATTTATAGTTCACTCTTGAGGGGTTAAGGCTTTGTTTGGTTGAGTTTTCAAAATAGTTAGGTGAAATTATTTTAAAAAAATAAAGACCAAAAGGGTTATTTTTTGAAATTTGAAAATTATTTCTATCCAAAACAGATAAAATCATATGAAAATAATAAGTATTTTTTATTTCTTTCACCAAACTATTTTGAAAACTCAACTAAATAAAGCCTTAACCACTCGAGTGTCAACTATAAAATAGCATATTTAGACCCACTTAATTGTAATATTATATTACTTTTACCCACCAAAGGGGAAATTTGTACAATTTTTTTATAGTTGAAGGATTTGCGTACCGTGCTGTAGTTAAAGGGTTAAGTGATATTTACTATTTAGTGATAGTAGAAGGGTGTATAACCCATCATTTAACTTTCTTGTAATAATAATGCTACATCCCTTTAACTACCATCTCTAAACCATCTTTAATGATGTGACATTGAAGTTAAACCCCATAGAATGTTTAACAAATCATAATTTGACACTTGTCAAACACATCATTAAGGCGATTTTTAGAAATAATAAATTAGGTGTCTCAGATATTTGTCTTCTTATAATTTTGTTGATTTTTTCTCACCATAGTCTATAGATAGGATTAATGGGCAAAACACTTCTCTTGTAAGAATTTATTCTTAATTAGGCTGTCATTGACTATATTTTGTTTGGTTTATGAAAAACAGGTTGAAAGTGATTCAGACAGATTGACTGGTATGAGCCCAAAATTATTATTGTGATCTATAAAGTTTTGGGTCATGGTCCATCTTAGTGTATATATTATTTTATATGTAGATATGCGATATGGAGGTATAAGGCATGTTTAAGTTACTTGGGTTCCTTAATGGGAGGGCCCAGTAATTGTTTTATTTAGGCCCAGCCCCCTCTCCTATCCTTATTAGGGTTTACATATATCTATATATATGTAGATCAAAGGGTTGTCAGCCCCATTGAAAAGACAACATAAAGATTAGGAGAAGAGGGGGAAGAGCTGGTGCTAAGGTTTTCCGATTGTGAATATCATTTTCTTTCAAAGAAGTAAAACTCAAGACAATGATGGAATCAAACGGTATATATTTAAGTTTATATTTTAGTAGTTAATTATATTCATAGTGTTTTGATTTCTAGTAAATAGATCCTATATTCTTACACGTGGTATAAGAGCAAGTTTATACTCGAATCAAAATCATGGCAGATTATTTCAGTAAAATTATTTTAAATAATGATAAGGAATAAATTAATATTTCTTTTACTAAATGATGCTTTTGCATCTCAAAATCGTTCTTTAGTAATTTCAAGAAAATTTTTTCAATGTAACAAATACATACTGTTTGAGTATTGATAGTTTGCTTCCAATTGTGTTTTATAAAATAAAAAATAATAATTTGGATCTAGTAGTTTTATGACAATTGTAAAATATGGATGTGTGTATATTGAATCTATATTGATATATATATATATATATATATTTCAAATCTTACCTAATTAAATATCTACAAAACATACGAAACATATTCGTTTTTATGACTTTTACATAAACATTAAGATTGTTTAAGAGTTCTATATCATGTATATCACTTTGGTGTAATTTTTTGTAAATTCATATGTGAATTTTTGGTTGGCCGTGAGATATTATTTTGAGTAACTGTTTAGTGGTGATTCCTAATATGGTATTATATATGCTTTGATGGGCACTAGGATATGCTGAAAATTTAATAAAAGTCATATGACCTAATTGTTGTGTGTCTCCCACTTTACATGTTAAAATTAATTTGTATAATTTATAAATTATGCGTTTGATTTCTTACCCCCAAAAAAAAAATGTTATTGTTTTTATTTTTATAATTAAATTATAGATTGCATGATGGATTACAGATTGCATTATTATAATAAATAAATAAAGTTTTAAAGGTGGACAAATATTTATTTTTATAGTCCCAGTTAGAAGATTTTTGAATCAATGTGGGTGATACTGCCAAAGTGGTTAACTTATTAAGATTTAAAGTGATTTACCAATAAGGATTCTGGGAAGCTCCTCTAATATTATATCACTCAATTACCTACCCAAAGGGGGTTAATTGAGTGTATTAATTTTAGAGGTAGTGTGAGCCGCTAGTAAGGGAAATTTTATTGATTTTGAAAGAATTTATCTATCCAAAGGAGATAATTTCTTGATAAATCATTCTTACTAGTTGACTTGTTTATAGGTGTTAGAATGTGTCTTATATATTTAGCCCAAAAGTATTTATATGATGGTACATTATGAAACAATATTGTTAAAGTTTATTTGCAGCCCATTGTTGTAAGAATATAATTATTGCCAATATATAATTAATTAAGATTATATTGAAGTTTAAAGATGTTGATTGTATTCTATATATTCAACCCAAAGGTGTTTATATAGTGATACATTCTGGCACATCTGAGAATATTGCTAGAGTTTATTCGCAACATATTCTTGTGAGATTATACTAATTGTCCACGTATAATTGAAAGTTGGAGTTGTGAAAATGCTTTCTATATATTCAATTTAAGAGTAATACATTTTAAATATTTGAGACTATTAATTGTGATTATGAGATTATTATTGTCCATATGTAATTGAATGATATTATATTTAATTGAAAGTAATGAAGGGGGATATTTTTATGAAAATCAAATTTACTCCATTAAAGTTTTGATTGTGAATCCGTAAATGGATATTGACTTAGTTTTAAATCTAACTAATTTAGATGTTGACATACTCGAAAATGCACTTTCTTAACCATTTATATTAACACCTCAATATGGTATGAAAGATTGAAATTATATTCAATGTTAACTATTTAAGAGAGTATTAACATATCCACTAGGTGATTCTTATAAGAAAATCTAAATTATACTCTACAATGCTTTATATAATACCTTCGACTTTTACAAATCGTTATCTCTCTTCAGTGTTTTATGTTTTCCTTTTTAGAATATTCTGCAAATCTCTTTATATATTATTAACTCAAGTAAGAAAAATTCTTTAGAATTTTTTGTGAGCTATGACACTCCTTCCCACCTTCGGAATTTTCTTATTTGTTTTTTAAACTGCTTTAAAAAAAAATGCTTGTGTTAATCAAAATTTTATTCCTAGTCAAGTTATTTAAGTTATAGTTTAGTACTGATCTTATTTTAAAGAATGTTATTTTTATATTATCCATGAGATAAAA